CTAATGTGAAGTACCACGTAAACAACATTTTGGTTTCCTCTTTCATACGCAGCCTTTAGAATAGCACAAGCATAAAAATTCACACTGTGAAACAGCTTTGAATTTGTGTGACGTGTGTGTGAGTGTGAATTGTCCTTAATGTTCAGATGCAGCCTTGCTGTCAGTGCTTGAGTAATGACCTCACTCATATGGATTCCAGGGTGGTCCTTTCATAGCCCGCTGGACACACTTCCACACACAAAACACACTTACCCCTTTTCTCCCCATCTAGCCAGAGATTAGTAGACCTCACTAACAAGTATGAAGTGTGTACACACAATACAACGTTGTCGTCTATCTAATAACACTGATTCTCTCACTTCTACAAAATTCCTTCTTTCATTTCCACAAGAAAACCTGTCAGGTTACACCTAAATATGTCTCTCATGTTTTCATTTTTTTAAAACATGTACATGCACACACCCAGGTCGGAGAAAGTTGGAGAAACCCAAAATCCCCTTTCTTGCTATGTCCCGTGTCTTGCACAATCACTCTCTCTTTTACAAGACACACTCCCCAGCTGTTGGACACAAACACAATGACATGATCTGCTTTTGCAGGCTCCAAGAGGCTGATGAAAGTGTCGGGAATGTGCACCAAAAGGCCACTGACACTTCATCCACTTTGTACTGCTGGCTTTTGACCTGTATCAAACGTCTAATACCTCCCTGACTCCTCCCAGATGTTTAGTGGCCTTACACCACACAAGACAAGCAGAATAGATTAGCTTTTATCTGCTCTGGTAGTTGTCACTGAGGCTCCCATCTTCTGGATTTATAGTGGGTAGCCGTTGCTCATATCATTCAGATGCTGGTTGTGCCGTCTTCTAATTGCTGATGCTGCTTCATCAAGATATAACGGTTGTTTGAAAAGCTCAAAATTACTTGCAGGTTAAAAAATTCCTTGTATGAAAATACATGATTTAATAAAGATTACTACAGTCTCTACAAAGAGACAAAATTAAAGAACATAGATAGGAGAAAGATTCATTAATCTACATATTGTAAATCATACTTAGATAAATTAAGAGTTTGGAGGTTTTTGATATTATGTGCAGTAGCTTCAGCTACATCTAAATCTGTATTTTTGTTCATCTCTGTTTATGTACACAATATATCCCTATTAAGAGAAAGTGAATATTGAGACTATGGAGCTTGTTCCCTATATCTCTAGAATCTCTAGAAATGCATGTGGAAAAAAATCTGTATTACTGTATTAGCAAGTACTAACCTGAGAAAAGACAAAAACTAAATGAATTTTCAGTGCTGCCAGGCTTCCTGGAAACGGCTCAAGAGTGGGGCTGGGCGATGTATCGAGTACACTCAATGTATCGCGATGTTTTCAATTTACAGTAGTTAAAATGGCTATATCACAACCATTGAGTATGAATTGTCGTTCAAATAATAAACTTTCGCCGTCAAATTCACTGTCAGTGTGGTTTATCAAACACCCTATGAATGCATCACTACTTCCTCCCTTTTTCCAACCTGAAAATTTTCTACCAATCACGTTGCGCAGAGAAAACAACCAACATGCATGTTGTAACCATGGTTACAGCGAGAGTTTGAGGCGATCCGTGAATGAGACGTTAGCTGAAGAAGAATCAACTTAGCTCCGAAAAGAAACAGCGCTGGATCAATAATTTGGCAGTGGTTTAGATTTTATATGGAAGATGTCGAAAAAAATGAGGTAACTTGCGAAACATGAAACTATTACCACAAATTTATTTCACCGCCCAGGTTCAGATATTCTTTTACATGTCGTTCCCGCACTGCTGGGGTAGAACGATTCCGTTACAGTGGAACCTGGAGACGTAGGTATGATTCAATTAATGATATGCAATGGGAAAAATAACTCAAAACCACTCTTTCTCTCACTCTCCGTGTCGACTTTACACGTAGACACGTTACCATAGCAACTAACAACGTAACTTTATGTATCAGGATTCAGCACCAAAAACACTCAGAACAGAACATTCAGTTGTTACAGTTTTATGCTTGTAGACTTGATGTGTATTTTGCGATTATTAAACGCTGTGGTAGATTAGCCACCGCTGCTATTAGCCACACTAACACAGCTGTGGTTGATTAGCTAATTCAAGCACCTGCTTTAATGATGCTCTTGTCAGTTTGTGTGTAGGTCACCTTTTTTATTTTTAAGCTGAACCAAAACACACCTTATTCCACAACACACCTGTTAAGTTAGTCAAAGTCAAGCATAACTGACCTACTTCCTTCTCCCTCGCTATTCTTTTCTTAGTTAAATCTTATTTCTCACCTTGTTATCTCATAGTGTAGACATAGTGTAGACAGTTCATAGCAAAGCACTGCATCCCTTTTTATATCAGCTTACATTTAAGTCTAGCAGGGAAATGGCGGGAACTTGCGTGGATGACATGCTGCAAGGAGTCTAGTTTAAAATAACATTGGAGCTCATTTAAGAACATTGTGATATATATTGTGCATCATGATATGGCAAAAATATAACCCACATCGTAATAATTTAACCTCAGTGTAGTGTAGCATGAACACAACTTCCTAAACAGCTAAGGACAAGCTATTTAAAGATGCACTCAAGAGGCCCTTTGTTTCTCTAGAGAAGTTGTAAAAATCAGTGGGAGAATCTGTCAACATAAGTATTTGATCTACATATTTTGAAAGAATGGCGCATCACTGTTGAAAAAATAATGTAATATAAAAACAATATATTATAGAATAAATATTTATTATTTTGCAATAAGACATGTTAAAATGGTAAAACAAAACAAACAAACAAACAAAAAAATCCAATCATTTATACAGTAAAACCAATTCCCATACTCTGAAGGTTCCTCTCTCGCCTTGTGACCTATGGAGATAACAGCTACAGATGACTGATAGGTGGAATTCCAACACGTTTGCATATATCTGAATGTACCATATAAATTATATAGTACTACGCTGACTTCCTAATCAAATGCATCTGCAGATGTTTCATATAAGCCAGCGCCAGGAAATATGAGACCTGTACTGCACCTGCAAAGCTCTGTATTTGACTTACTTGGACTTCCTTCATACTACCATTGGGGCACTTGAGTGCCGAAACCCTTGTTACAGTTCAGCAGAGTAAGCATTTTTTCCACAATGTCAATATGCTGAGGAAGTTTATAGCTCATGCAGCACTGATTTCAAACTGTATCAGATTTTGTTCATGTAGCACTGACCCCTGAGGAGGAGGTCGTGACCTCTATTGTGGATTAAAGTCACTTTTCTGAACTATGTGACAATTCCCCTTCAAAACATTTCCTACAAATGACATTTGCACCTAAGGTTAAGGATAATTATCGGCACACTTCAGCTTGTGTTCCCTGTTGTTTTTGTAATGCTTTACATGTTTTCGTTTTACAACAGCAAGCAATGCAGCCTTTGTAGATTTTCATATCCAACAAAAGGAAACTTATGTTTAAATACAAACACTGGCCTTTGAACCAAAAACCTTTAAATCTAATCTTCTTATCTTGCTTTTCTATTCCCCTTCATTTTTTGCAATGCCGTCCTCGCTGCTGCGCTCTTTGTCTGTGTAATTTACACACAAGTAAACCAACCCTCTTCCAGCCCTGAGGTCTTGGTTCCGGTCTGGGGTGTGTGAGAGAGAGCAGCCTACGTCTGTGTAGGACTGGAGCTCATTACACCACCACACACACGTTTCTGCGTGCTGTGTTTGTTTACGTGCGTGAGCTGACACTAAGCAGTAGGCTCCTGGTTCTGCTTAGCTTCCTTGGGGTCCTGAGAAGCATCTTACAAGACTAGATGCTCACAGTCTTTGATGAGAAAAAACATTTCTAGCTCAATTTTACACAAATGTTTATTGACACAGTTCAAACACACACACACACGCACGTAGCCACAAATTTATGGCTTGTCACACATAGTGGGGATGCATGCATGCACAAAAACACACCAGTCCTGTGCAGCGTCGCTGTAAACTTTGACTTTCAGACAGCAGCCGTTTTGTCTTAGACAATCATTTCAGACGCCTTGCTCTTATAAAGCTACTGCTTCTGACTTAATGGTAGCTGTTTTCCACATGTGAAGCAGTCAGGGTATCACACACACACGCACACACACACATTCGCTCACATAAACAGCAAGCAAATAAACTGAATGTAATGCCAGAATGATTTTTTTTTTTCATTCTTAAGGTCTTGCTTACCAATATATACATAAAACTGTACCTAATGAAGAAGGAATGTCTCTTCCTGAAAAGAGACAAAATCATAGTTTAAGAAAGGATAGAAGGTTACTCAGTGGAAAACGGAGACATTTTGACAGCTTTACTTGATTTAAAATATTTAGTCTGAATGCACTTTTTAACCATATGATAAACATGGACTGAAATTAATGGGATAAAGGGAGATTCACAAGATTATTCTGGTAAATTTGTATCAGACTAGTACGGACTCAGAAATTGAGATGCTCAATTACTTTGTCACTAATAGGAGACTGGTTTCTAGTATTATTTAGATAGCCCTGCTCAAACTAATCATCATCATCAACGTCTGTGACTAACTACTCCGGATTTATGCTAAATCAAGGCGTGTCACTCAACTATTTTTCCAAGATGCCAAAAATCTGCAATGAACTTAGCCCACCTATCATTCGCCATTATCTAGATACTAGTAGATTCATTGTCATCCACTTATCTGGGGTTGGGTCGCAGCCTGAGCAGGGAGACCCAGACTTCCCTCTGCCCAGGCATTTGGGCCAGCTCCTCCAGGGGATTCCCAATGTGACAAAACTTGACTTGCTTGATGAAGACAATATGTATTTATTGCTAAGTAAAACACAAAAAATGAAATTTTGCTTCGTACTAAAGTGAATGAAAACTTTTCTCTTTTTGAAGATTTCAAATGTTGAAACGTAAAAGCACTACCTATTTTAATCAAATCTCAATGAACCTCTTTTTTTTTTTTATCCTTTCAGCAACGATCGCCACCACCATGGACGAAGGGCAGTGCTACTACAACGAGACCATTGCCTTCTTCTACAACCGCAGTGGAAAGGACCTGGCTACCACCTGGAACACCGTGAGCAGGCTGGTGATGGGGCTGGGCGTCACTGTGTGCATCTTCATCATGCTCGCCAACCTTCTGGTAATGGTCGCCATCTACGTCAACAGGAGATTCCACTTCCCAATCTACTACCTGATGGCCAACCTAGCGGCTGCTGACTTTTTTGCTGGACTGGCTTACTTGTACTTAATGTTCAACACAGGACCAAACACAAGGTGGCTCAGTGTTTCAACGTGGTTGTTGCGTCAAGGCTTGATCGACACCAGTCTTACAGCTTCAGTGGCCAACCTGCTGGCCATCGCCATAGAGCGTCACATCACTGTCTTCCGCATGCAGCTACATACGCGTATGAGCAACCGACGTGTAGTGGTGGTGATCGTTATAATCTGGACTCTGTCCATATTGATGGGGGCGATCCCCAGTTTGGGCTGGAACTGTATCTGCGCCCTGCAAAGTTGCTCCAATATGGCACCGCTTTACAGCAACTCCTACTTGATCTTCTGGGCGGTGTTTAACCTGGTGACGTTTGTCGTGATGGTGACGCTTTACGCCCACATTTTTGTCTATGTGCGACAGAGGACCATGAGGATGTCGCGGCACAGCTCTGGGCCACGGCGCAACCGAGATACAATGATGTCTCTGCTCAAAACTGTGGTCATCGTGTTGGGTAAGAATGATCTCTTAGCATTTACCTGTTTCCTTTCCTGTTTCTCTTCATCTACCCATAGTGCCGTCCAAGAGTTTTTATGCTTCCCAAGTTGTTTTACCTTATCACATATTACACCACAATGATCACTAACCAAGTTTCCATCCAATTTTTTGATTTTGTTGCTGGACTGTCATAAGATTATTGAGGGAACTTTTAAAATGTCTCAAAAATAGGAAAAAAGAAAAACTTTCAAATTAGTCATGTTTTCATCTACTGCTTTGGAACAAAGGTGAGCTCTATTCAATAACTTTGAAAGCATACATTTTAAATGGTTTTGACGAAAAGGTACACATATAAGGTTTGAATACATAACTCCACATTTCTCAAATTTGTGTTAAAATCAAGCAACATTTTTACAATTATGGAAAACTTTGTGTTTGTCTCTTCCATAAAATCTTAGTAATACACTTAAGTGTGGATTTGCCATTAAAATGTCAAAAGGTCTAAATGTCATGTAAACCTTTTCAAGCTAACACAGTGGTCTGTCCTTGTGTATTTTAATTGTATACCTTAATTTCTATTGGGAGTTTTTTTTTGGGGTGGGGGGGGTTCAAAGAAAGGATCATTTTAAGACCTACATCCTTTAGTGAAACATTTTCTGAGATGAGGGTGCTATGTCCCTGCTCAAGATATGTTTATGAAACTGATTACATAGAATGTCAGACAGCATTTTCAGCCAATATTGAGACATCAAATGTAGTGCACAATTAAGGCCCTCAATCTGTTTCAGATTGCAGTAATGTTTCTCTTTTTTCACAACAATAATGAGACAGCCCCTACTCCATTTTCTGTTGATTCCCAGTGATATTGAAAGATCCATATTTATATGTTGATCTTCATTTAGCAGTAAATGTCTGCATCTCTGTCTTGTTAGACATTTTGTTTATCATTCTAGCACTGAGTGCAACTACTGTCATCAGTCATCAGTTTCACCAAAACAATGAAAGTGTTGAATGGTTCATCTGCAAAGCTTCAGCATTCAGACCAAACACAGTGTCTGCCTAGTACGAATGCAGGCGTCGCATACAGTGATCTCATTCTGTGCTGTCTTTTCTCAAATGTGTCACAGAGTTGGGATTCAGCATGAGTGGTTAACAATGAATGTGTTCTCGGTGTGTTGGGGTTTTCGTAAGAACACTTTTCATTGCTATTCATCAGTGCAAGTCCAGTTACAGTCTCAAGTAAACTATTTTAGACACATGTGAAGTGGGACAGATTGGTGGTCGAGACCTCCTCTATCCAAAATACTAGTGTTTTAGTACAAAACTGATCAAATAATTAGTTCCACCTGTGACATGTGAAGCCATGGACCAAGTTGGCAGCCCCAACATACACATTATTTGGTGTTGGAAAAAGGTGCGACTAGAAAACGTCATAATACAGTCCTACCTTGGTATTTCAGTCAATTTGCAACGGTTACAAAAACACATTAAAACCTGTACAGTTTCTCATCATAACACACACACGAAAACCTTTCTTTCCTCCATTTTAACAGCATACCGACCAAACATAAAAGAACAGCAAAATAAAACCAACTGTTCAGGGCTGTATTGTACAGAACTCCTCCAGGCCGTAAAGATGTCACACACTTTCTTCAGCATGTGCAGCAGAGTTCCTCCAGCTTATCCAAAACAGACCCCCCTCCCCCCTTCAGAAGGCCAAAACCATTACTTCAGCATAACCACTGTTCAAATGTGTGAATCCCTGCTCTCCCACTGAGAGATCTCAGGACACACACTTCAGTGTGGAAAATTTCTGCACTACTTGTAGCACTGAACGTTCAGAGTTCCTTCCTTTAAATGCAGTTCTAGATTTTAGTGTATGACCGTTATATGTTTTGAAAGACTAAAGAACTGATAACCCCGTCAGGTTTTCTGGTGAGAAATCGCCAGCACTTGTTAAATTGCCTTACATGCAGGTCATGACCTTGTTGCTTGGTGTGTTTAAATGGTCTAATTCAGAGGCGACACAGATCAAATAAATTACATGGCTTTAAGTAAACAGTGATTCTCAGGAGTCCTGAGCTCAGTCACTAAAAATAATTCAGAAAGGAGGAACTTTAGTTTGTTTAGTTTACTTGTGTTTGTTTGTTTCTATTTCCTTTGGAAATCCACAATTTTATTTTTCTTTTTTGAGCTCAGATCTACTGAGATGGCCTAGATTTGTATTAATTATTGAACATTTCTGCAACTGGAGAAAAAAAAAAGAATGGAAATCATTAATCAAACATGATGTACAAAACACGCTTTGTGGAATAGGAATATGGCCTTAAAGCTCAATATACTTGTGTTTAAAGTGATACATTTCAGTTTCTTTGTAAAATTGACATTTTTTCTGGTTGATAAATGACTGCTATTGTGCCTTAGCTTTAGACAAACTAAATATTCATATAGTTACGTCATCACCATATCCATTGTGAAGTTCATCATTTTGGATAAAAAAATAACTTCTCTAGCTGTTGGATGTGATTAAGCATATTACAATATGCTTTATGTAATAACCTCCCAGGCTTATGAATTCTGCTATAAAGAAGTAGGACATTTTACCTAATACTGTTGTGTCTAAGTTGATTTTGTGCCTGCCATCGCACGAGTTAGACAGCATCCATTTCTAATAAACATGCTCTGTTTTGTATTTAAGTTCAGAAGTGAGCAGAGCCTGACATTTTCATGTCTGAACATTTACCAGAGCAAAAGGCCCCAGGACTCTTCGGTGTATTGCTTTTCGTCTTATTTTATTCATTTATATTTTACCTAGGTTCACTCAAACCTCATAGTCGACCAGCTCAGTGGCTGCAAAGAAAGTTAGTGCAAGATTTGTGGGGGAAAAAGGGCTCCGGAGTGCCTGAAAACAGGATATGTTGGTCCCAGACAAAACATACCAAAGGATTCCACACGATTTGTCTCCGGTGTTCCATGTTATCTCATCCTGATGCATTTGTTGTCTTTGCAGCCAGTTTTAATACAAAACAGTGGAGAGCAGAATGTTCTCTCAGTAGAAGCGGAAAACATATATTCTCAGCTGCTTGAGAGATGCTTGGTTTTATTTTTGCTTGCTTAACCCAAGAGGAAAGGGGTTTCGCTTTCTGCCTGATGGTGTGTTCTCTTTATGTTTGTGGGGTCCAGATGTGGCAAAATGTTAAATATGAAACATATGAGTGCTTTATTTTTGCACTGCACTTTGAAAATGTGAGCGGATGGTGAGAGGAAATATACCATAGTCTGCGTTAAGGCACTAAGAGTTACCGCTTTCTCTGTTGTCGTATCTTCTTTTGAAATTATTTCAGCAAAACTTTACAAAAACTCACGAGAAACATTACACATTGGGGTAAATGGAAATCTAAACTCATCCCAGTGTAACTCCAGCTGCGTCTGCCTTCAGCGTTCCAAATGCCTATGTGAATTGGTTACCCTTGAAGCAATTGTAAAAATTTCCTGATAAATTATTGCACACATGTTTCAGATTCAGAGCAAACAGCTGTTGATTCCTGAGAATAGAACTTTTGGTTCATGAGATAATTTTTTTGTCTTATTAGACACACTAAGTCGTAATATAAAACAGACTTGAAATAATTTGGTAGGATCTGATTACGCTTTTACATTTAGGCAAGGACCGTTTCCTTCATACATGGATTGAATATTTCCCACTGCTACTTGAAACAAGTTGTACCAAAAAATATGTGTTTTACTTAATCAAATTTCCCACAGTAAGGTGAATTAAAAACCCCTCCTGGGTTGAGATTGAACAACTAAATTTAGATAAAAAAATAATCAGATTTTAACCAGTTTGTTTAATTTTGCAAACTTGTGGCAATCACAATTTATGCTTGATTAATGAAATGAAATATAGCTTTAAGACTTAACTATATCCTATCTCAAACTCATTTGCAAATTTGCTGCATTTTATGACTTTTAGATGTTATTGTCTAAAATGATTACACAGATAATTTACAGAAAATGTTTCTGTAGCTTTTTGGATCTCTGACTATATATATATATATATATATATATATATATATAGTGTTACTTTATTGTTTGATTTAAAGCAAGTTTCTACAAAGTCACACTTATTTCATGTCACTGGAAGTAAAATATTAGTGTCAAATTAAAGCTTCCCAGAGGGTGTGATCCGTTTTTGTTCAGCCAGGAATCCTCTCCAGGTTCTGAGTGAGCTCATTTGGAAATACCACAGGAGATGCTGAATATTACGTCTCCTGCTCTATCTATCACTTTCCTCTGCCAACTTTGACTATGAGTAGTGAGTCACATCTGTATTAACATTGCTCCTGGACTCTTTGACAGGCTTTAGAGGATTTATTAAACCAAAAAAAAAAAAAAATCACATGATGTCAAATCTCCTATGACGTAACAACCTTATGTTACTGGTTTTGATAAATTGCTTCTCAGAGAAGAACTGCTGTAACTTCTCCCATAATCGTTGCTGCCCTCCTGACTTTTGTCCTTCCTTCAGTTGTCCCTTGGGGAAACTGAGGGAAAAAAGGGAAAAAAAAAAATTTTGGTTACACAAATGCGCACATCTGCATAAACAGAGGTAGAAAAAATGCTTGCAAATACAAAGTCTCCCACAGTCACATAAACCTCTGAGCTTAATAGAGAACACTCCAAAACCAGATTGGCTTCATTCACATAAAACTGACGAAGAAAAAAAAAACCAACAACCACAATGTAGGTTGTTTATGTGTGTTGTTTACTTATCAGATGAAAACACATCTGGAAATAAAACAGAAACACACGTTAAAATAAATACATAAAGAAAATGGAAAAAAAAAAATCTTGGACTTGTGAAAATACTTGCGAGTTATAAAGATCTAAATGGTCGAGTTATCTAGTCATGCAGTATTTTTTGAAGAAAGATTGTAAAATCACATTGTGAACAGAATTACATGGTAGTGGAAGGTATTGCAGCTCATGTTGACTCATTAAGATGAAAGTAATTCA